CACCCTGACATCTTCCCATTGATACGTGCTTTGTAGTCAGCAGTGCTGTATGGGTATATAGGTATCTGTCTACATTGTGATTTTGATGGAATATGCATAAGGTTTGGATAGTTGGCTTCTTAAAAGAATTTAAGATACAAGACTAGATGAAGGGCTCATTTACTCAGCTCTTGAATAAAACTTATCTAAAGAAAATTTAACTACAAAAAACCCGAGTGGGTTTTTTCTACAATAAAACTTATCTCATCATAAAAATTCACCATATTAATGTTTAACTAGCAAACCAGTGAACCAAATGTTCACCAAAACCTGATTTCTCGAAAACCGGAAGTGCTACGTTACTCAAATTCGGTTTGTAGTCTTATCAGACTATTCTTAACTTATAACTTAAATATTCTTGTACAAGTAAAATGCAAGTTGATTTGATAATTTATTTAATTTTTCTAAGGACTGCACATGCAGTTGCAACGAGACACAGGACGGAAGAGAGTGATGTTGCCATCACTAAAATATTATTATGCATTGACCTGTGTGGCCATATAAAAATCTTATAAAATGTAATATTTTAAATTTATGTTGGAAATTAATCAAACATAGTTGGGCCAGGCCCTGAAAGCTAACGTTAACAATCAAATATAATCTTAATTATGATGTTATTACAAAAAAGGTTGCATTATTACAGAAAAGTTCAAGCGAATTTACGGTTAAGCATACATATACATTTACATACAATAACAAAATAATATAATATATATTGACTACATTTACTATTCTTATACAAAACAAATCTTTTAAGTTTTTATAAAATAAACTATATAATATTTTTGAACTTATACTGTAACAAGGCTTTTCAGTATGATAATCTAATTTTATTTTAAGTACATTACTTTATTTTTAAATTTATACCTATCTATATCAGTTCATATCAAATTTGACAAGTATTATGGGTTGAGTTTTTAGTTTCTTGCTATTGCCGCATTTGTTTGAACTTACAATGGTGAATTGTGGGGCGTGTGGAAATGTTTTGCCGCCGGCAAATGCGGCTGCATGCTTTGCTTGTCCGTTGAAGTACCACAAGGCCTGCCTCGCTATACCGGAGAAGTCACGCGTTAGTAAAGACTGGATCTGCCCAAATTGTAAAAAGAGCATACGAAGTCGTGATAACACGCACACGCCAGTGAAGGGCATTGGAGAGTCTACACCGGACACCGAAATTGCGGCTGTCAGACGAGGACCTGTCGACCTAGCCGGGAGCTCGGTAAAAAATGACAAAGTCCAGGATGAGGAGAATGCTGTCGAAATAATTTCGCAGGCGACATTAAGAGTATGCTGGCCGATTGCATGAGGGAGGTTAGGGAGTTCCGCTTGGAGATGGCGGCTTTCCGCGCTTCTGTTACTGCACGACTCGACTGTTTTGAGCAAAGAGTTACAGTGTTGGAGCAGCGTCAAAACGAGCACGGAGCTGTGGATTTGGAGCGCACTATATCTGAGCTGCGTGCTGAGTTAAACGACCGCGATCAGAAGGCCTTGGTGTCCGACTTGGAGATCGGTGGGTTGCCTGAAGAGAAGGGAATCAGCGTGGAGCAGAGTGTCGCCATGCTGGCCGTACGGCTCGGGGTAACTCTCAACGGGCGAGACGTGGTGTTTGCGGAGCGTGTGGGTGCGCCGCCTGCTGAGACGCAGGGTCGCCGACGCCGTGTGGTAGTGCGCCTTGCGCGCCGCCAGCTACGCGACGACCTCCTGGCGGCTGCGCGTGTACGCCGCAAAGTCACCGCTGTGGAGGGCAAAGCCCCGAGCACAGCTGCGGGGGACGTCGCCCCGGTCACTGCTTTGAAGGATGGTACTTCGGTCGCTGCAGTGGAAGGAAGCGCTCGTGTATACATCAACGAGCGGCTCACGCGCGCCAATTGCCAGCTCTTCCACAGGGCCCGGGAGGAGCGCCGCAGGCTCAATTGGCGATACGTATGGACTAAGCGGGGCCGCATCTTCGTTCGCCAGGGGGAAGTCAAACAAGTCTTCCAGATCCGGAGTGATGAGGATCTGGTGCGTGTGTTCGGGCCTGCGCCGGCAGGCGGACAATGACTCCAGGAGGATCACATATTTTATTGTAATATAAAATACATTTTTATCTACAGTATATCCTTAGTTATATTAAATATTATTAGTTTTAGTTCAATTCACTATAAACAATATTGTATGCCCAGAGAAATGCTTATTGGTTGTATTTGTGATGCAATTTTGGTTGAATATTTTTGTTATAGTGGATTAAAGATCCCACCTGAAGGTTTATTGGTTTGGAAACATAGAATTTTATTTCTGTTTACAGTCTGTTTTTATGTTTTTAAAAATATCTTTAAGTGGAGTTCTATTTATGAATTAGTTATTTATTTTATCCCTTTAATAGTTGTACAATATGAAAATCGATATAATCTTAGTTCGAGTCATTATAAAAAAATATTGTATGAGTGGTAAAATGCTTACCACAGAAAGTACTGCAGATGTCATTTTATCTTTTCATTATTGCCAAACTGGTTTAAGGTTTTATGTATTGTTATGAGCAAACAGACTTCTTTTTGATGATCTGCCTCTGTTTTTGTGTTTATAAATATAAATTTGAGCCGAGTCCCATTGCAACTTTATATACGCATTTTATCTCTTTATTATTTTTTGTACAATACGAAAAAAGGGGACTGCTATTTTGTAGTCAAATGAAATTTAAGTCTGAATTGAAACCTTTTATACACAACTTACATGTTATAACACGATTAAATCTTTGGTTATAATATGGAAAGGTACCGCTCCGTTGCCACTGCCTTCGTTTTATGTCTGGCAGCATTTTATATATTTCTATCTTGTTGTGTGTGTTATGTCTTATTTCTATGTACTGCTATGGAACACAATCCGTTCTTACCTTAAGTCAGTGAAATATGTTGAAAGTCACGTCACTAAAAGTACATTTTTATTTTTACTTCGCATGCCTTGGCTATTAAGTTTAAAGAGTTTCTTGAATAGGCGACATCTTACAATAGTAAAACGATATCTGAATAATTCCTTAGTTATATTCACCTCTTATTCTTTCGTGTTTCATAATTCGTGTTTCAAAATAAACATTTGACAATTGGTTTCTTGAATCCTGGTTCTCTCGGTACACGGCATGACGAATTTATAGTTGCTTTGGAGAGTCGGTTGGTGGATGTCATGGCTATAAATGAGACTTGGCTGAAAACAGGTGAAGAAAAGCGTGCGCCAGCTCCAGCTGGTTATAGACTGCGCCATATACCACGCCCTCCAACTGTGCGAGAGCGCGGTGGAGGTGTCGGTTTTTACATTCGGAGTAAATACGGAGTAAATAAATAGATACGGGAAAAGGTTCCATATTGGCTCTTCTGGACTTTTCACGTGCCTTTGACACAATCAATCACAATCTTTTAATGTCTAAATTATCATTTTATGGCTTTAGTAGTAGTGCATTAAGGTGGTTCTCAAGCTATCTCTGTGGGCGTTCACAGCGGGTTAAGGTGGTCGATGAATGCGGAAATAAATATATTTCAAAGACTACCCCTCTCAATCGAGGTGTACCAAAGGGCTCAATATTGGGTCCTCTTCTATTTATATTATATAGTGCAGATATGACTACTTGTATCAAAAAGTGTAATTACCACTTGTATGCAGATGACTTGCAAATTTATCTGTCTTTTAAACCTAGTGAAACGTTAGCTGTGGTAAATCAAATTAACGAAGATCTTGAGGCTATTGAGAAGTGGGCCCATAAAAATGGCTTGGTTTTAAATCCACTTAAATCTAAATTTCTTGTACTTGGTTCTGATATACAAATAAGTAGTATCAACAGATTTATTCCTGTAGTAAAGATAGGCAATTTGATCATAGAGCAGGTAACTGAAGCGCAAAACCTCGGAATCCTTTTGGACAACAGGCTTAGTTTTCACAATCATATGTTGGAAAAAGCGAAAAATTGTTATTACAGGCTTAAAGTATTGTATCAGATTAGAATTTTTTTGGATGTTGACTTAAGAATTATGCTTTGTGAAAGTTTAATACTATCAAAACTTAACTATGCTGACACAGTAATAGGCGAATGCATGTTTCGTTACACTAAAAAAATTATCCAACGCATCCAAAATTCATGTGCACGCTATTGTTTTACCGTTCCACGTAGGGCACATATTACACCTTTTCTCAATTGAAGTAATCTCATAAATATGCAGTCTAGACGATCACTTCATTATGCTTGTCTTCTATTTGGTATAATAAGAAGCACAAAACCTTCATATCTGTACGAAAAATTAAACTTTTCCAAGCGTATTCGAACTGCTTCTCTTCTAAGTTGTCCGAGTCATAACACAGCTGCATTTCGTGGGAGTTTTCGCTACTCCTCTACGAGATGATGGAACAATATCCCTCCACCCTTTAAAGATTGTGCCACGATACGTACTTTTAAATATAAATATAAGGATTATTTACTTAAAATGCAAAAGGACACTTATTAAAACCTGTATGTATTCATATTTATTGTTTGATATGTATTTATCATTCATGTGTAATATACTTATATGGTATTTGTGTAGATATATGCATGTATATGTCCCTGTGCTTCTATTTTATATTGTGTTGCGTTCCATTTCATTATAAATTATTATTGCCCAATGATAATATTATATATTATCCACAGTTGTACACTTATAAATAAATTTAATTTGTTCGCGTAGTGGTTACCTTTACTTAATATTAGTAGGTATCTGCGGAAGACCAGCGTCGAAGCATCGTAAGATCCTCCGACATTATGCTGAGTAGATACCTTTTCAGCACCGTGTATATTACTTGTGTATGTATTATGTATGTTATCAAAATGGTCATGGTACTGAATAAATATTTTTTCTTTTTTTCTTTCTTTATAATTGAGAACTTCCTCCTTTTTGAAGCTGGTTAAAAATTCAGGTAAGAAAAAGGCTTAAATAGTTATAAACATATAGGCTTATTGGGTAAATAAAAAATTAAATCATGTTGTAGTTAATTTATTCCATCAAGGGTTATTTATAAATTCACTTTTTACCGGTAACTTAATAATTATTCTATACAAGATAATGACAGTCTGCTTAGTTCGTATGTAACTACAATCTATATTTGTTTGTGATTTATGTTAGCATGCTATTCTTTATATGCGATATAATTTTTACCTATCAATATATACTAATATTTTTATTATCTTAAAAGAATATCTCTATAAAAGACTAAGCACATAAATATTATGCAGAAGAATATAAGGTCATATAAATACTTATAAACACTATGATTGACCTTATTTATTAATAAAGATGGTGTAAGATCATATACTACTTAGGGCTCATCGTTTGATTTAAAGTTAGATGTGACTACTAGTCAATTTCAAGTTAAATACATAACTTTTACTATTACTACCGATCTAAACAACAGGGTGCCAATGGCCTAACGGGATTGGTATGGCTCTCGTTATCTCTTACGTTTTCATTTTTTTTATTTCTGACCGCCGAAGGTTTTTGGTTGCCCCGCGCTCTCTTTTTTTATTTTGTATTGGTAACAACCATATCAAAAAAAATGAGAGTAAAGTATTTGAAAACCTTCGGCAGTCAGACATGATGAAATAAAATAGTAAGCTATAGCGGTAGCCATAGTATTTCCGTTAGCCCCCGGGGCCTGAGAGCGCGTTCCCACTATGCCTTGACGTATATTTTATCGTTGAACAACTGTCGTCTCTAGCTATTCCCATTATATCGACTGTTTATCGTTAGCATGTTTACTCATGATACGATGTCATGCGAGCGATATCGAGTCGAATGAAGATTTTAATTACATGTATATCCTAAAGGAGCGATGCGATGCAATTCGGCCGATTTGCGTCGCTTCGGCCTTCTATACTCTATAGGTGCCTCTTCAAAATGGCCCATGATTGACGATTAAAAAAGTGGCTATCATTCCCGCGATGATGGTTTGCTCTCCGACAATCGTGACTGTTTATTTACGTCTCTTTCGTCTGTTGAAGATGGACGTCGAAGTGACAGCGGCATGGCAACCACCGGCACGCATCTCTTTGAGGTATTTACCGACAATTTATCGATTACTCACGATTGCAGGTGATGATAGCCACCCATGGACGATTATGCCCTCTACAAAATCGTGTGTCTATAAAAAACCAATCATTTAACACGACTTTTTTTTCCGTAAAGGAATAACATATTGAATGAATGATTTATTTATTTTCTCTCACAAAGTCACAAAGTAACATTATAGTTAATTAAAGGGTATTGAATGACAAAACAGTAATAACAATGCAGTTCTTTGAGAGAGCTGGGGATTGTACTAGGTTACAAAACCTGTGTTACGACCCCCAGGCTCAAATCCTCTTAAAGCCCGTTTGCTAGAGATTCTTATGCATTACATGAATCCTTTAGTACATATCAGTTAATGTTACATTGAATGTTACAGAACCATAGTGAATTTAATAACAGAATTATAAGCAAAAGAAAAAGAAAGTTACCGCCATTTATCAGTAAATGCGGGTTACAGGATAACGCTTAAATGTCTATATATTTTAAATACTAGCAAGTGTGTGTTTGTGTGTATGTTATATTACATACATAGTATAAATAGTATACATACCTATTTCACAAATTAAAAAGCAGTTGTTAATAATTTTTCTGTAGCGTCATAATCCAGTTGCAATAGCCAATTTGAGATTACTCTCTTCATTTCCGACATCTGTATATGGTGGATTTTGAGAATTTTGTTAATTTTATTATACAGGTAGCAATGAAGGAAAAAATAATTTCGCTTGGCAAAACTAGTGCTAGTGCGTACTAAAGGGCAGACTTGGTGTTTTCGTCGCGTATCAGAGAGACCAGTTCGGTCGTACGGCGTATTTCGATGCGTTCTTACATATTGACGAAGATCGATTGAAATATGTATATAAAATCGATTCGATATCGAAATAGAATGGATTTTACATAATATATTTTATACTATGAGCAAACAAAAGAGCAAACAAAAGAACAACCATTGAAATATACAAGCCACGACGCTTTATATGAAACGATGATTTTTCGTAACGACATAATGGGAACGCGTCCTTAATTTTGACCCTGTCAATTACAGTTATTTGAGTGATGCAAACAAAATACGGGAACAACTCAAACCTTTGTTAAGATTGTATAATATTCGCTCATATTCGTAGCCAAATCTTATAAATATCTTATTTCATAAGTACCTTAAACTACTTTCATATATTAGATGCTCAGAACCCGGCATAAACCCAGAGTCCCAAATATCAGCGAACCACACGCTACGGTGGAATCTGTAGAACATGATCAGAGGTAGACAGACGTGGCCCTGTATAGACAAAAGCACTTAACCGTAGTAGGGGTAGGGGTATCTTTCGTTCAGGCTGTCAGGTGACATTAATTTGAAGGTGTAGAAGAACCTCGTAGCCATGTGGGCGATGATGTGAATCATAAGAAGTTCTCTCCCGGGTTTGGTACGGCGGAATTTCTTCGAGTTGCTGCACCGACGGAGACCGACCATGAGCAGACTTAATGCGGACACCTTGAAAATCGATGTCCATACCACTCACACCACGGATATCATATTTGAACAAAATTTCTTCATATTCAAAGCCCAAACTTGCTTTGACGACCTCCGTGGCCGAGTGGTTTGTACGCCGGGTTTCATGGCGTCGCCGACTCGAGAGGTCCCGGGTTCGAATCCCGGTGGGGGCAGATGTTTGTGTGATGAACACGAGCATTTGTACTCCAGTCATGGATGTTTAATATTTATGTATTTCTATATAAATATACTTATATAAGTAAAGAATTTGTATTCTATCCGTTACCCTAGTATCCCATAACACAAGCCTTATAGTGCTTACTTTGGGGCTAGGCTAATTGGTGTGAGTGTTGGGAATATTTATTTATTTATTTATTTAAACTTAGTATAATCATAAATATTTTTTTTCATTAGCAGCTTACATTACCTTTATTTAATTATTTAGTGCTCAGAGCCCGGCTTATACGCGGAGTCCCAAATATCGGCGAAACATACGCTGCAGTGGAATCTGTAGAACATAATCAGGGGTAGACCGACGTGGCCCAGTATAGACCAGAGCACTTTGCCGTAGAAGGTGTATCTTTCGTCCAGGCTGTCTGGTGACTTGTATTTGAAGGTGTAGAAGAGCCACATGGCCACGTTGGCGATGATGAGGAACATAAGAAGTTCTCTTCCGGGTTTGGTGCGGCGAAGTTTCTTCGAGTTGCTGCACCGACGGAGACCGTCCATGATGAGTGGCGTTTGAACTAGTACTTGAACCGCCTGTGATATATTGGAAAAAGAGAATTAGAGCATGCAGAAATGCAAATAATAAATGATAATTATTAAAAAAAAAAAGTTTTGTTTCTTTATTTAATTTAAGGGCTTTTACATAGGGTGTGCCCACATTATACTCTAAACATTTTATAAAAACTCAAGCGATTGATAGCAACATGTGACATTTAAGTTTGGCTGCATCCGATGTAGGAACCGCCAAAATTGATTTGGAAAACTCCTTCATCGAATATGCCAGGTCCATACAACTTGTATTAAATTGAAATACCATGAAAACTGTACCAATAAATAAGTGAATTCGGACTGAGAATCTAACCCTAGAACGCGGAGATGTCCAAGCCTACTCCAGCAAGTTCTGATTTTGTTATCGAGATTGATACGTACCATGATTGTGTAATTAGCTATTGCGACAGCGTTCGTGAGACTCACAGTGGCCACGAGAGAGAACGTCGTCTCCAGCACGAAGGCGGGTATGCATATGAACAGGAGTACGTCATCCAACAGAGATATCGGATGTTCGTTGATATCCAATTTCCTTAATTGATTAAAGGCGAAGACTACCGCGAACAGCAGAATAACGTGCATGCTCAGCATTGTGCAGTCGCCCAGTAGATGACCAACTCCCAAGAATTCTCTGCAACAGTTTTTTTCAACGTGTTTCAAAATTTACTCTAAAAAGTAGCTTTCCTTAGACACGATATATTTAGGTGTGAAACCATCCTGGTAACAGCCAGAACTATTTTACTACAAAAAAATCCCAAAATAGATAATCCTGCCATAAATACATAATAAAATAATTTGTCATACGACATGATTCATACAATTATATAATAAATCATATATTTAGATAAGAATGGTTGCTGTAAGGTTATCAATATAATCATATTGCAGAAAATATTATTTGCATCATATTTTCTATTGTTCATTTACAATAATTTCTTCTGTAATATTCTGGAAAATACTCCACAAGGAAAAGTGGAAAGTGGAAAGCTGTCCTAGTCCAAGGTTTTCTTTATAGCGTAGAATGATAGGCAGGGGTCAGAGCAAATTACTTGTGCAATAATAGTGTCCCGCAATAATATGTCCCGACAATATTGCCAGAATGGATCGAGATCGATGGGCTAGAAAAGTGATGGAATGTCAAACACACGTGGTCACCCGCCACTACGCTGGATGGAATCACACTAGGAATCAGTTGGCTAGGGAGAGACAGAATTTGATAAAGCGGTCTATGTCCAAATGCGGACCATGTAAAAGTCTGCTGATGATGGATGGAATCACAGAACTCAGGACGAGGATACAATAATATCAATTTTAATACTCACTCGCCTACGCTGTTGAAAACGTAACCAATGATGAGCATTCCCGCGACGATGACCATGAGGATAAGGCCGACGAACAAGCCGCGGTTGGAGGCGTGGCAGTCTGCGTGGATTACAATGTTACTCGTGTAGTCGTTGTCCTCGTGTGCAGTGGGGATTCTGCCAAAACAAAAATAAAGGAATTATTAAAATTAATATTTTCCTCACACCAATTATTAAGGCTCCACGGGGTAGGGTATTGGGCCAGGGTAGGCAACGTGATATTTTTGATATCGCAAGTGTCTATAGGCTATGGGGTTGCTTACCATGGGGGGGCGGGGCATATTATGCTTGTTTGTCACCCTTTTAGCATGAAAAAGAACTGTAAGGTTTGTGTTATGGAATACAAGAGTAACGCACAAATACACATATAATGATAAATATATTTGAATAGTCACTTTGTTCAAGTAGGTACTTATGCAGTCGATGAGAATATTATTGAAAATTGAAAATCCATAAGAAGATATTATTAATGCGAATGTTTCAATGTTATAAAGAATGTACTAATTTTTATGCACTTCGTATAAACTCTATTGCTATAATATAACCAACACTGGACAAGTTGTAAGTATCTAAATGTTTGCAATTATTTAAGCTTAATTAATATTTTTGGTACAATGGGCAATCCCATCGTCAGCAATTTGAAAAGTTTAGAGAAGAAAATGCACTGAATCCAAGTATAAAACTCTTTATTACTTAATACAAAGTGTTTTTGCGAAAATTTAACGGTAGATATACCTGCATACAGTTGCGTTGTCCATCAAGCTCGAGGTTTCAGACTCTGAAGTGTCCTCACTCTTGCAATGGCCAATGTTGCTCCAAATGATGTAGTATATAGCCACTGTAATATAAAATTATTAAAAATAAATAAATATTTCCAACACACCAATTAGCCTAGCCCCAAAGTAAGCACTGTAGGCTTGTGTTATGGGTTACTAGGGTAACGGATAGAATACATATTCTGTACATATATAAGTATATTTTTATACAAATACATATTAAACATCCATGATTGGAGTGCAAATGCTCGTATTCATCACACAAAAATCTGCTCCCACCGGGCTTCGAACCCGGGACCTCTCGTGTAGGCGACACCGTGAAACCCGGCATACAAACCACTCAGTCACGGAGGTCGTCTAGTTTTTCATAGATAATAGTCTATATAAAACGTCATAAATGTTATATGATGACCTCATCGAATCAGTATAAAATTCTTCTAAAATTTTAGTTTTGTTCTAATAACGCAATACTTATATTAAATATTGTTGATTCACTGATTGTTATTACTCAAGTGGCATTACTTTGCACTGGTTTAACTTATGTTAAGTTGGATTTGGAATAACTCTTTAGATTTAAACATGTAGCAGTTAAATGCTTTAAAAATTAAAAAAAAAACTATAATTGGTGTTTCTTCTTTCAAATGTTTAATACTTGTAAGGATATATTCATTTGACATTGTGGGTTACCCACAATGCGAAGAGATGGAGGTACCTTGCAGCCTAAGAAGTAGGTAATATAGAAAATTTCACACGGACAATTAAGGCCACGGTAGCATAATGGTCAGTGCATCCGCCCGAATAGCGGAGGGTGCGGGTTCGAGTCCCGTCTGCTGCCTGGTCAGCGTGGATTTTAAAAAAAACTTCAAGATTTAAACATCTAGCTAGCAGTTTAATGCTTAAAAAGTAAAATTTATAACTTGGAATAACTAATTTGATTTAAATTAATATTCAAGGATTATGAAACCTATTTGGCTAAGCTAAGAATAATAATACAGAAATAAGAATAAGTAACAGTCACTTACCAATTAGAATATTAAATTCCACACTAAATGGATATAAGTATGGTGATATGTTTTGAATAATATCCATCAGTGAAGTTGATCCGGCGCAATGCGAATTGTAGAGACTACTTATATCTATGAAACGGGAATCTGCTTCTGAAAAACCTAAAACAAAAAGAAGCTCAGATATAGTATTGCAATACAAAAATACACTTATTTAAGTAAGCTATACCTAAGTTTTTATATATTAGAAGATGATATAGGGAACAATTCAAATCGACTTAGAGAAAATCTTGTCATGCTTGATTTCCTCTAGATAAAAAGTGTATTGAACTACTTAGTTTATAGAAGCAATTGTGTCAATAATAAAATATGTTGGTATGACAAATTTTAAAAGTTGGAATAAAAAACTCGTTGAAGACAATGATCTTATTAAAAAAAACGAGCGAGCCTTACAGTAGTCGCGTATGATGTGTAACATTTGAAACCTCACCTTATATTAGTAAAAACAGAAATAAAACCTACTACAAAAGGAATAAGCCATTTGAACATTATGTTCTAAAATCAAATCAAATAGCGCGCGCTTTCGCGACTTCCTGTTACACACTTCCGTTACATTTCACGAACTCACTTCCACAAAATGCAGAAAAGCGAGAGGAAAAATGTTACACATCAAAAATATTACTTAATTTGTACAAAATTCATACCTGTGACAAAATTATCGTAATCAGTGTTATTCCCGTAAATAGAGTTGGCGTATAGTGTCAGTGCCAGTATTGTTTCTCTTACGATCGCTGATAACCAGAAACATAGGCTGCTGCCGATTATATGCATTATGGCAAGGTGTGCAAGGCCCTGAAAAAAACGTCACGGTGTGCGTAATTGAACTACTCCGTAACGGCTCGACCAATTTTCGTGAAATTTTATATGCATATTCGGTAGGTGTAAGGGTTAGACAACATTTATTTTTCATCCCCCTAAATGATATTTTTTTGGGACAAAATCTTTTGTTTTTATTTTTTGTGATACATTATACAAAAATACATACAACCCTAAATTTTCACCCTTCTACCAACCCCTATTTTTTTATGGCGGTACAGTTTGCTGGGATAGCTAGTGAATTTATAATAAGCTTCGCTAGACACATTTTATTTAAAAGATAAATTCATTTTAATCACACTCACAGGTGATTTCAATATGATGACGTTGGAGTATTTAAAGATGAAATAAAGCTGCACAAAGCTGTAGAAGGGCGAAAGAACGTCCAGCACCACTTGCGATATGACCACACAGTCGTCATTGTCAACATCTTCGTCCAACAGCTGGGCTATTTGCACGGCGATCAAAAGTGTCGAGTGGATCAGGTGGCCCAGTGCGAATGCTGCAGAAAATAAAATATTTATATTATGCAGACCCAACTATTTTATTGCATGCTGATACGTCGGTGTGCTTTGCACGCGTGGTGGATTTTTTATCTAAATATATTTATTAGAATTACATAATATAGGTATATAGTCGCCAACATAAGGAGCTGTAAATTAAATTAAAAAAACAGCTATAATAACCATGTAATTACATTACGATAACAATTATGATTAAGGTAACAAAATCCATTATGAAACCTACTTACGGTAATACGAACTTACGAGTATCACCCGATCGCTATGTATTTGCTGTTCTATCATACTTTTCTATAACGAGATGATGCAATGACGTTATATGGTGTGTCAGACTGTAAAATTTAAAAACTACTATTTTCGCGTCTAGATCCAATCGACACTTAACATCAGCTGTGGTGGAATCTTTTGATCGGAACTAGATAGCTACTTAAAAATATAATGTTTTTGTAACTGACAATTAGCTTTGGCGAAAAAGTGAAATCACTCACCAGCAGCTCCTAGTTTGAGAAAGAAGCTGCCAGAGTGTCTTCCGTAGTTGAAGCAATAGTCGTGCGAAAGCGGTATTAGTACCGGTTGTGGAATCGGTACTGTCCGGTTCTCCGGTGACCGATCACCATTTGGCGTATTCATATATTCCTCCTGATATAAAGAAAAAAAAACATTGTTTTAATTAATTCTTACATAAAAAAATGAAAATTAACAGATTATGGTTAATCCTCATTAATATAGATTTTTAATGCCGCAGGTTTCCGCTTTTCATTAAAATTTTGACTTTGATTCTGTGCTGCCTGACTCTTAATAGAGAAATGAGATTTAAGGCCCAGAATAAAGGAAAGTCTTAGGTCATGGATGCACTTCTCATACTCGAATCTTTTATACATTATCATACATAAATTTTATAAGTTAATGTTATTCTTTATATGATTATATGTGGTATATAATTACCTCTTGTCTCCTAAAGTAATCCGCCACTTTCTCTTCATGCAAGGCTTTGATTCTCTGATTTTTCAACGCTATGGATTTATATCGGCTTATGTCGAATAATAAATATAAATGATACAGCATTCCAATACTTAAAAGGACGATAGAGAAATACTGAAAAAAAGGTAAATCACAGTTCTTATTTTATAATCAGAACATTAAACTTCTGAAATATATCAAGAAATTTAATGTCTTAATTGGTTAAATGTCTTTCGGATTATCAAAAAACCATTTCTTCAAATCTCAGGAATTGTTAAATTTGGGTGGCAAACAAGCATACGGCCCGCCTGATTTTAGCGGCCACTATAACCTATAGACTTTTGCAATACAAAAAATACCCTGACCCAATGCCTAACCCCGTGGAGCCCTGGAACCTTACTCACAGACAGAAACACAACCCACCAAAAGGTAGTTATTTTAGTGTTCTCATCTGTATGGTGGAGCTTACTTTCCCAAGTAGGCGCTCGAATTCGAGCGGAAAATCCGCTCTGTCCTACCTCTCTTACCATACCTATCACTTTTTTATGGTGTTGTGTTCTGTCAGTGAGTAAGGTTCCAGGGCTCCACGGGGTAAGGGATGGGGTCAGGGTATTTTTTGTATTGCAAAAGTCTATATTTTATGGTGGCCGTAAATATCAGACGTGCCGTTTGTGTAGGAGTAGTAGATGTAATAGCAAAGTGGGCAATAAATGCGCAAGAGACACTCTGGTGTTAAAAGCGTCTTTAAGCTACGGTGGTAGTTTACCATTAGACAAGCCATAATCATGGTATATTTTTTTTCTTACATAACCCATCTTAAATTAGTTTATTTTTGTTGTTATGTTGAAATATTTAAATACATTAATGAGGCACTAAATCAATAATATTACTTCATACTTACTATAGATATTTCATTCCCCACAACGGGACTGCTGATGTACACAATGAAACCCATCGTGACTAATACTGTGGCATATATACAGCCTATGACTAGTGTGAGATATTTCCTGAAAATTTAAAATATATAATCAAACTACATTGAAAAGGTCATGGTTACGCAGCGCACCTTTTCTAAAACGCGCACAGATTTATTTGCAACACATGCACTGCAACATGGGGGTGATGACGGGGTACAGTAAACGAAATTCTATTAAGATCATCAGTTACATTAACAGTAAACAAAAAATAATATACACCCAAGACGTGACGTCATGCGACATTTCAAATCAATAATCTACCTTAGAGCCGAAGAAAACAAGGTAGTCATCATCCCTATTATCCAACGTGTTGTTGAAAACTGAAGGAAGCTACGCGCCTGATACAGTATGGCTTACTTCCGTCGCTTTTTAACGAATTATCGATTGTCAATTTTGTTAAACAAGAACTTCAAATGCATACAGTGTATTTGGATGGCTTTTCGTAATAGTCCGTCGCGCCGAGAACAAGTAGGTTTACGTGCAGCGGACTAAACACGTCCTAGCGGTGTCGCTGTGTTGCAAATAATTTGTACCTGGCTTTAAATCGAAATAGTTTCTCTAATCGAATTTTTATTTTTATTTCAAGAATTTATTCGTTAGATTTATAAGTCTTATAAAATTTTGGCAACAGCCAGGATTCGAACTTATATCTTCCGCTATCCAAGCGGAGGCACTGAAGACACCCCAACCAATTATGGTGTCGAGATGTGTCTTTCTTGTAGTATTATCCGGATGGTGGGGGGTGTCGAATACAGTCAGATAAACAGACCGAGTGATTTTTTCTTTAGTAAACTTTATTTCGATTTTTTTCTCAGTGGTTAAGTCAAAATTATATAATATGTTAAAGAATGCACTAAAACTATCACTCTCCCTGTCCTCCTACACCTTCAGCCCAAAATGCAGAGTGGAATTTTTTTATTGCATCAATATAATGTAAATTGAAGAAAAAGTAGGAATTTTCTAATTACTGGGTCATCTTCTTGTTATCTTCGGGGCTGGTCGGTGGCGGTGCTTGTGTTTCCAAAGAGCGAAGTGATTGGGCGTCCATGGTGGCCACGGACCTCTTGCGCGGCGTGCCGACCCCGCGGAAGTCATTAGTCGAAGCGAACATTCGGTAACTGTCTGTAGGTCAACGTTAAAAATTCAATATTAGTTATATATATATACTTATTGATCCTGTGGCGGTGACATCTACATGCCCCACATATATCCAATGGATAGAAATCGTCACTCGCCTCCTCAAGAGATGGCGCTACCGACGCTGTGATCAATACGTATAGAAGCCTACATCGCACAAGTGAAATTCGCATGCTAACACTCTGTATATGCAATGCCCGACCAACATCAGTCGGGCCGCAGCCCCCAATTCTACCATCTACCATCATCCAGCTCCTTCAGGCCTTCCTACAAGGATTGTGGGAGGATTTCTACAAAATAGGAATTTTAGATCATGGAAATGGAAGGTTATGGGGTTAGAAAAAAGAAACACATATGCCAGGTGTTAACTTTTTTGTGTATTGGGATCTGACAAAATTCGTGAGACACCTGGTGTTCAATTTTGGAACTAATACCGGGGTGCATCGCTCATCAAAACACATAAGTTATCATTAGTGTCATTAGTACTTTTGAGAAATTAAACAAAAAATGACGGAAGAATTAGGAATATTTAACCCTCGCAAGATTTCTAAAAAAAGAATAAAGTGTTGTGTGTATGGATGTGGAAGCAGTTTTCAAAAAAACCGTGAATTAACGTTTCATAAGTTTCCTAAAAAAAATGCGCGTTGTGTTTACATCAAAAATTATTTTGGTCAAATGGAAAAAGTGGACCAATTCACAGCATGGAAGAACGCTTTGAAGATTGACTGTAAAATAAATCCTCACATGAAAGTGTGTTCATTGCATTTTCTGAAAGACGACTATATATTACCAGGTGAGTCAAATTCGTTTTTTGAGGTTAAGCATGTGTGAAGTAGCATTTTACAAGATCTCATTATTATTCCACTAAGAAAAGAATGGGACGGCAACAACATTAAAATGAAAGAGTTTCCTTGGTTTAGTTATATAATCAATTGGTTTTTTTGCAGACATTCCATCCCAACAACGACAGTTGAAGAAAACTGCGATTCCATCCTGTAATCTGCCTCAAAGCACAGTAGGGCGGAAGGAAAAAAAAACAGGAGAGACCGAAAGAGAAAAAAGATTGAAAAGGAGAAATGCTCAGACGGAAAGTTCGAAAGGATTAAAGGAAAAAACGAAGGATCAAGAGGACTCTCAGCATCCGAAGACCGAGGAAATCTTGGAAAACGTGGATAACAAAGAAGAAAATAGTTACTGCGTCGAAGCAGAGACGAAGTCGTTTGCAGATATCGGAGTGCAAGTGGAAAGTGATTATTTAAGACCCAGTTTCACAATGTTCATAAAGGACAACGAAGCGTTGAGTACTGCGACTGGAATCGAAACGCTAGAAATTTTAGACACCATCGTCGATATTGTTAAAACACTCACCGACAATGGTGTCACATATTCTAATGCGAGAATGAGTTTACGCGAGCGAATTATAATGACGTACGTAATTTAATTACGATACCACAATTCAATAAATGTTTCGCAGCTACCAGTCGTTCACCCTCTCGAAAATTGCGATTACTGGGCGTTGAACCGGACCATTCACAAATATCATTAATTGTTAAGACTATCATTATTTACCACTAATATTGATATTTAACTATTTTACGGTATTTCATCACGGTTTGACTAGGCAAATGCACCCCCGTCGGCGCCATATTGAATAGGCCACGCCTCCATGTCAGATCCCAATAGGTATTTGTGACCTATGGAAACTAATCAAAATAATGTTTATAATACAAGAACTTAGTTTATAAAATAAGCGACTCGAGAAAAAATACATGCGTTCATCACATAAATAAATACCCCGGGATTGAACATAGGACCTATGAATCAGAATGCAGGCGTGCAATCGGTCCTAAAATCTACCTATACGATCGTCTAGGGCGTCAAAATAAAAATAACGGCGCGCGTTGACTTGGTCGGGTACAAATCGTTTTCTTTTAAATAGAAGCTACAAGGTTTGCATGGTGTGGCAGTGGCCATACGAATGAGGATACTCCTCAGTAGGGAAAACAAAATTCGATCGCGTCAGGCATTGAGAAGAGATGTTACGTGAACCCTCCGTGAACGTTCGGCCTTACATAGAGGGCTTAGGTATGGTAGGAGGACTTCAAAAGGTGCAATATTTCCCCTCTTATGTTATTTTGCCGCGCTCGAGTAAACCCAAAAATCCCCGCTTGGCTCCCCTACTATAAGATGGTCTTGGAAACTGTTGCCGGTTGATTAATTCATTGTGATTTTTACGACTACTTTCGTGACAACTGGTAACATCGTAAAGTCACCTATACATGTTTGCCTAGCGTTGCTAAGCGAAGGCCAATACCAGCGTATAGACAGCATATTTGTCTTTTCTTGTCATCGCACGGTGTCGCTTGCCTAATTTGCTGAGTAGAGAAGGAAAGCGCCAACGTTTATCGACCTCATTTGGCATCGCTTGTCGGCACTCGCAGTCGGTCGCCAACATTTGTCTCACATCGTCGTCCATAATAACTAATAGCGCACCAACGTATGGGCAACTCCACAAAACTCGTCTACATTGGCCAATGAGGGCTATCGCGTATGAATCCGCCGCTAGAGGCGCTAGTGTAGCGTGAGGTCTCCGAAATGTCAAATGTTATTGCTTGTTGGTTGACTACGCGGGTTTATTACTTATTAAAATAATGTTGTGAATAATTGGTAACAATTCGGCTTAATTATGGCAAATATGAGTTATGTGGCAATGAATGTCAGTTATTAAAAATTTGAGCTTAGAAAAATGATTATGTTCCCATTTTTTCCGAATAAAACGGAACTGGGCGTCACTGTGGCATGGCCTATTATGTTTAGGATATGGTTCTTTTGTGTTAAAATACGATCTAAATGTAGCCTTTGATTTCATGTGCGTATTAATAAACTTTAAAAGTTACAATTTAGGACCTCACTCAACAGCGGCGCCATCTGGTGATACAGAAAACGGTAGCCCTCATTGCATTGGCCTTCTTTAAACTTGCCCAGCGGATTAGAAGGTAGCACTTGCCTTGTATCAGTTTGGCTACGCTCGCGTTGGGTAAAGCTCGGTTAACATGTATTGCCAGCTTAATATTGACAAGGCAGGGGAAAAATATTTTTCATCCCACCACCTCGGAAAGTGTAATTTTGCGCTTCGAAATCTGGCTGGAAAATTCTATTTTATTCGCTTGAGCGGCAAAGTAGATTTGAATTTAGAACATCACATATAATGAGTACTCAATATAATTGTAAATTCAAAACGTCATTAAACCTATTTAATGTAACCTCTATGGTGCCAAATTTATGATTAGAACTTTTTAAATTGTGAAAAAATTTAAATTTGGAACCTTCTTGGTTTCTTTGTTTTATTTGCGTGCTTCGCGCCATTCTAGTTTTTCACGTTTTATTGCTTAAATATTTTGTCATTATAAATTGTTTTCTTTTTCATTTTGTCATTTCCTCGCTGAGGTGGGATGAAAAGTTACGTATTGCACTCGAGTGGAAAGATTTTTCACCTTGTGCTCGTTTGTTTCCCTCGCTGACGCTCAGGATTCTAATTTAGAATCACTCGCTGCGCTCGTGATTCAACTTTAGAATCCTTCGCTTGCTCGGTCATCCAAATCGAGCACGCGGTTAAAAAGGAACTTTCCACTCTTGTATAATAAATAACTATTTCATCCCACCACCTCGGAAAGTGTAATTTTGCGCTTCGAAATCTGGCTGGAAAATTCTATTTTATTCGCTTGAGCGGCAAAGTAGATTTGAATTTAGAACATCACATATAATGAGTACTCAATATAATTGTAAATTCAAAACGTCATTAAACCTATTTAATGTAACCTCTATGGTGCCAAATTTATGATTAGAACTTTTTAAATTGTGAAAAAATTTAAATTTGGAACCTTCTTGGTTTCTTTGTTTTATTTGCGTGCTTCGCGCCATTCTAGTTTTTCACGTTTTATTGCTTAAATATTTTGTCATTATAAATTGTTTTCTTTTTCATTTTGTCATTTCCTCGCTGAGGTGGGATGAAAAGTTACGTATTGCACTCGAGTGGAAAGTTTTGCTCGTTTGTTTCCCTCGCTGACGCTCAGGATTCTAATTTAGAATCACTCGCTGCGCTCGTGATTCAACTTTAGAATCCTTCGCTTGCTCGGTCATCCAAATCGAGCACGCGGTTAAAAAGGAACTTTCCACTCTTGTATAATAAATAACTATTATACATCCGTAGTCAAAACGGGTGAATATATATTGTTGCCGCACGTTGGTATGTAGTGAAGTATAAATTAATATATAATTATTATAATAAGCATAAACTAAAAAAAACATCTAAGACTTACTTAAAGATTTGGCGTCTCCATTCCTCATAGTTCCATTCAGGTAAACTATGGGGCTGTAACGGTCACCTAGTAAAAAAAATATTTAAATATACAAGTTTGCAAATATTTAAGGAAAATAATTTATTAAAAAATCAACATGTTATATATGTTAAATTACTAAAGTATTAAGTACATAACAAGGTACCGCCGCAATAGAGCTTTTTCTAGCGCATTAAAACCTGTGATTTTTCCTTTCATAACACTTTCGTTTCATTTTCAAAAGTTTCAATGCTTTTAACTTAAAAAGTCTGAACGAAATTTATTCATAAATTGAATATAAACATACCTGTAGGCGTAGCTAGTCCAGAATCATCCCCTTTGTTCAAAAAGCCAAGCCTCGGTAGCTGTTCCTGTAAATAAAGCAAAATGGTTATGCTGTTGCTCCGTATACTGTCATATTTCCATTCCGTACGTTACAAAAAGTGATAGTCGATGTGAATATCGAAAGCCATACAAAATCGGATTAATAACTTCATTAGTCGCTTGTTTCTCTCGATCGACACCATCCTGTATTTCACTATAATCCCATTACGATATCCCGCGCTTCTCTGCAACGAGTTTTTCAAAAGTTTCATCTGAAAATGGAGCATGGAACCTTATTTGAATTCAGATTTGGCAGGTATTTTAAATCGGCAACAACTGCTAAAACGGACGCGGTTACGAGTAAAATGTTTCACTTTGTAAACAAAGTAAATTGTAATGTTACTTAAAAACTATTTTATGCGGTATAGCTATTTTAGAACTGAAAGAAGAAAGAAAGAAAATACATTTATTTTGACACAAATACCGAGACAGTAGATACAAGATTTTGAACAACAAAAAATACAAGAAAAGTCATCGTAAACAATAGGATAACAACACAAAAAAGTAACACATACAATTTTTCATAACTGTCGTTACCACCGGTGATTTATTCTGTTGCTATCTCGCGGCTGCGCCAAAACAGGTTGTCAATTCAGCATGCTGTCAGGTTTGTGGGACCTGACGCTGATTTTCAATTGATACCTATGGTTCTTTTGACAACTAACTATCGCAAAAAAGAAATATAAGAATAAAAAAAAAACAGAAATTCATACTCGTCAAATTATTTAGAAACATAAATAATAAATACAATTTATCATTTATATCACTTTCAATATTATCATACATAAATTAGATATGTATATATGATATGGGCTAATGATGAATCGGGCATTATCATAATGCCCGGGCAATATGAATAATGGCCAATAAGAGCGGGTAATGTGATTATAAACAATCAATTTATCACATTGCCCGGGCATTATGAATAATGCCAAGTGCCTATTGGGCAGAGTGATGTAAAGCATGTTTAATACTTTCAAATGAATACTTAGATAGACCGAGCATTACAAGTAATTAAATCGGGTAAATTATCGGGTAGAGTAATAATAAAAACAAGTTTTATAGTTTAGTATTTATTTTTAAAATTTAAATAATCAGACTTCGGTTTTACTTCGATCAATTTACGAAGAGCTACATTTAAAAAAAATGTAAATTTAACAAATCAAAAAACCCGACTGCTTAATTATACTTCAAATAAAAACTGAAAAGAAAAAAACAAGTCCAGTAGTCTATAATTCTGTTAATAAGGAACAAAGCTACTTTAACAGTCGGGACCCATTAAATATTCAAGAATACATAATATTTTTCAACAGTGGGTCCCGAGTTTTTTTTAAGCACAAATGCTAAGTAACTTTTACAAATATAATCAAAATAAACCTATTACTTACTTTATTTTCAAATCTGTTTCATCAATTAAATACTTATCTTATCCTAACTATCTATACTAATATTATAAAGAGGCAAGATTTGTATGTTTGTAACAAATAATCTGTCAAACTACTGAACCGGTTTCAAATATTAATTCATCATAAGGTAGCTACATTATTTATTATAACATTTTTCTTTATTTAAATACATTTTTTCCGAGTGACATAGGCTATATTTTATCCCGATAAATAAATTTCGCCCGTACAATGCCCGGGTGGATCACTAGTAAGTATAATATAATATTATAGATGCGAAAGTGAGTTTGTTTGTTGCGCTTCCGTGCCCTAATAGCTAAATCGAATATAATGAATTCCCATATAGAAGTAGATGGAAACTTGGTTCTTAGCTACAACATCGCAATACTTATAGGCGTAGGGTGATGAAAGCGGTGATTTACCTATAAAAATCTACATTATTTACTTTGAATTTTGCAGAATTATTACAAAACTAATATTATCGCGAGCTGATTAATAAATACAGGGATTCCAATAAGTATGTACTTACTAGCGAAAAATGGGTTATTTGTCATTATATTAAGTAAACTTTTTTTTTAACATTAAGTAATATCGTTAAAAAAAATGAAAAACAGTAAAATTCTGAGTTTCTCATTAAAATTCAATAATCATAAATACCCATTATGATAATATATTTTTCATCATTTAATAAGAAGGAACTGTATCACAGTTTTATTGTTAGTACTTCGTATAGGATCAGATACTGCGAATACCCCATTTTTTTTTTACATAGTACACCGCGCTATCACTTTGTCATCGTTGTAACTTTTTAAATATTTGTCGAAATGACATAGTGTAAAAAGCAAAGTTTATCGTCTTTAAATATCAAAAGCGATAAAAGTATTTGTTTTGATAAAAAATGATTTGTTAATAATACAAAATGTGCATTTTGGAAATAGATATCAAATAATATTTTAGTTTGATTCACTATTTTAGCGGTAATGACTTACACATTAAAAATAGATATATGGTATCACGGACTTTTTTTAGAACTATTTAAGAGATACATTTTCACTCTACATTACATTCATGTAACTTTTATTGTTTTTGCAGTGCAGGCCAAAATGGCTCGCAGATGGGAGATTTTTTCCGTCTTATGTGACATTTATTGTTATATATTGGCCAATTCACTCAATAACTACATAAATTATTATATATATGTAATTATCATATATGAGCTATATTACTGTTAAGTTTCATTAAAATCCATTCAGTATTTTTTAGGTGAAAAAGTAACAAAGATCCATACAAACGTAAGATTGAAATTAAAAGCGTAAGTGGTTAATATACAACTTTAAGGCGTTGTAGATCCTAAACAATCATATAAAATGAAAAATGGTGTTAAGAACCTAAATATGATTTTTGATTATCTAGACAGTGATACTCCACTCGACATATTTTGTCAACTTATTTTTTTTACTTCGTCACAATATGGCGCCTGATTTTGCCCATATTGAATTTTGATTACTATCATATCTTCAGTAGCACTCCCATGATTGAGACGAATCGATTGATGTATGAATCATCAAAATCGGTCCAGGCGTTTGGTCTCTAGTGTGCCACAAAGGAACAAACATACATATATAGACTGTTACACATAACCCTGTCTGCGCGTCGCGCTTCGCGCTCTTGCATTGCGCAGCCGGGTAACAAACATACATATATAGACTGTTAAACACATAACCCTGTCTGCGCGTCGCGCTTCGCGCTCTTGCATTGCGCAGCCGGGTAAAAACTATAGTCTATAGTAGTTTCAATGCAGTTTGTTTGAAAAATTCATTAAATCTGTTAAATGTTCAGAATGACATTCTGTATGACACAGATATCAAAATGCAGGTAAATAATAATTGTATATTACACCTTGGAATGGGATGATTGGTTATCCCATATTGAAGTCATTTTTCAATAGCTTGACGACTCTGTATATTAATATACAGAGTCGTCACATTAATACAACCTAGCCTAGTCTAGTTATAACTAGATACCATTTTAATAGTAAAATAGAATACTCATCTCCGCTGACAGCATTTAAAAGTTGTCGGTTCTCCTCAGTACAATGTCTCCGTAGATTTGCGAACCGATGGCGTAGCTTCTAGACATTTATGTGTGCATATAACAGCGGTATTTCTTGGTTTATTGCACGATTTGCAATCCCCCATCCCCTCCCGTAAAATTATTTTAATTATATCATAAGTCAAAACATATGGCTAAGTTCATATGAACGCACGGTTGGGGCATTCACATGACAGCTTATGCACGCGTTTATCCGCGCGTTGCCGCGTGGTTATATAGACGATAATAGTTGTATGAACTTAGCCTTACTTAGTAAGGAATGCATCGTACTACCGCCACAATAGAGGTTGTTCTAGTTGATTCGTTTAAAGCGGAACCGTAGCGAATGCGGATCCATTGTCAAGAAGGCGGCAGAAAAAGCGGGTAAGCAGTCTGATCTGGCAACACTGTTTAGTTTTTAAGCTCTCCATTGCAAGTCGTCTGTCTTCAGATGGCGCTCGTGATTAAATACCATGTTTAATTTCAGGTTTTCACAAAGGCGCCCAAGTTCGAACACCGATTGGAAACTTTTTTGCATTATTTTATCTATCAAGTAAAAAGGCATTGATTATAATGATAAATAGTCTTTATAAATAGGAATCATGTGACAATATTTTATTATCTTTATCACAAAGTAATGATATCCATTCATAAAGATAAATTCAGATTAATAAAGTAAAATTCGCTAATTAGCTACGTTTGTATTTTAGAAGAAAGATATTGTGATGAGGGTAACACTGAAATAATAAGCCATCATGACCCATTCCGTAGTGAATTCAAAGATGCATATCTATAGTATACTGATAATAAAATTAAGTTTTAAAATTGTTTATCCATTGAATTTTCATATAAATAACAGTAAATAAAAAAAACCGGGCAAGTGCAAGTCGGACTCGCTCACCGAGGGTTCCGTACGAACTCAATTTAATACCTCTACGCGAAAAGAGGTAGTAATTTTAAAATTTTCAAAAATATTGTAAATATTACATAACTAAAAATTTACGATTTTCGCAACTTTTCCTATATCTGTACTATATATAATACGCTAATTAAGTAAAAAAATTCAAGATTCTAAGTTCTCGGGAAGTACCCTGTAGGTTTAGATTCCCGCGCGAGTTTCAAAAATTTGCGCCATCTTTTAATTGCTTTGGCTTAGAAGTTTGATTTTTTCATAGCTCCAAGGAACAGTAGACATGAGTATTAGATGTGAATTTCAGTGTGATACCTCTACGCGTTCCTGCGAAAACGGTCTTGACAGATGGACGGACAACAAAGTGATCCTATAAGGTTCCGATTTTTCCTTTTGAGGCACGGAACCCTAAAAAATGACACATTGTACGACGGAGTATATCATTTTGAAAGGCTCAACTGCAATGGTTTCTTTTATGTTCGTAGTCGTCTTTACTGCTGGGGTATAGACCTTCACTATGGAAGGAAAAAGATATTTACCATGTGGGCCCAGTGCGGTTACTCTTATTTGCATCAAACTAGCA